GGAGATAACGAGGTTAGTTCAATCAGGGAGGGTGCGGTGCTCTGCTAGCAGTTGAGGTGTGAACACCAAGGGAGGAGAAACTGTTTCTGTAGTTGGATAGCCATTCACAGTCTTTGTTTAATCCTGATCTGATGGTGTCAAATTTGCAAATGAACTAACCTCGTTATCTCCACACTGATATATACCTGCCTCTGGAGATTTCCACAGTTCATTTGTCAAATTTGTACACCATCAGATCAGGATTAAACAAAGACTGTGAATGGCTATCCAACTACAGAAACAGTTTCTCCTCCCTTGGTGTTCACACCTCAACTGCTAGCAGAGCACCGCACCCTCCCTGATTGAACTAACCTCGTTATCTCCACACTGATATATACCTGCCTCTGGAGATTTCCATTACTTGCATCTGAAAAAGTGAGGTTCTTACCCACGAAAGCTTATGCTCCCAGTACTTCTGTTAGTCTCAAAGGTGCCACAGGACCCTCTGTAACCTTTCCATAGACACCCCCACTTGACCTCTTCTGTACAAGACCTGGTGCCACCATAGGACCCTGGTTGCAACAATGATCTATACAGTCACAGTTCATGTCAATAACATCACACCCAGTATGGCCGTTCTTAGGTTATTGTGTTTGGCAGGGAGCCCCAGTGCGCAGGAGCTGAGTCTGGAAGGGGTCTACAATGAGATCACCCAGCCTGTGGTGCACAGTGGCTACCTCTACAAGGCACCAGCCCTCTCCAAGCTCTCCAGCACCAGGAAGAGCAGAGATGGTAGGTATGGGCCAGGCACCATGGTGGCTAGGATGGAGAGAAGCTGCTCGGTGTGGCAGGGACCTGCCCTTGCTGACAGTGTGTTCCCTGCAGAACTGCACCGCGTCTGGTGCTCCCTGGAGAAGTCTCTCCTCTTCTACGAGACTGACAAGTGTTCTGAGTTAGTGGGGAAGGTTGAGCTGGCTGACATGGTCTCGCTGGGCGTGAGCAGAGCAGATGGACTGGCCAGTCCTGGGCCTCCAGACAGGTACCCTGCCCCGAGGGGACATGCCCCTTCCCCGTCTGCACCCCGGGGGAACGCCCACCTTCTTCCACCTCAATCAGCACCCTGGCCGGAGCACAGGCAGGTTACTCCCTGAAATCCCTGAGGGTCCAGGCCCTCGCCGGAGCCCCCATGTGGTGAGTGGATCAGAGGCAGTGAGACCCCCCAGGCACTGGGTGCAGGCAGGGGTTTGGGCATGGCATGGCACTGCCCTGCAGGGAGAGGCAGGCAGCCACCTTGGGGTCCGAGCATTTCCGGGGACATGCACTGGGGAGGCAGGGGGATTAGCAGTGAAGGGGCACTATGCCCTTATGCTGAAGGGGCTGTGGTGCAGGGGCTGGGCCTGCTGAGTGCCCGCAGCAAGCTCCCTGCCTCATGAGGCTATCCATAACCAAGCCCTCTGAATTCGCTCCACTGGGCCCAAACCCTCACCACTGGGGTCTCCTGCTTGGTGCTGCAGATGTCCCAGTGAAGGCTACCTAGTGACCCTGGGCCCCCTGCTCCTGCTGCCTGGGGGAGTCGCACTCTGGCTCCTGTGTGCAGGGAGGCAGCTAGAGCTGGGCCATTTGGAAGGGCCAGCTGCCCTCCGGCCACCTGCTGACCTTGCGCCCTGGGCCTAGCCAGCCCCATGAGCAGGGCCAGTCCTCAGGGCCATGGCCTCCATGCAGCAGAGCTCAGTACGGCCTAGACTCAGGCCTTGGGAAGGGTCATTTTCACTGCTGGACCAGAGTGCAAAGGCTGTGGGGGGCAGGGCACTGGGCTGCTGGGGGAGCCCTGCCCCCCAATGCCTTTGCCTTCATCTACAGGTTCCGCTTCACCTTGGAGCTTTTCCTGAGCGGCGACAAAGTGCAGCAGCTGGGAGCTGACGGGCTGGACACCCTGCAGGCCTGGGCCAGTGCCATCGGCAAGGTGTGTGACACGGTCACCCAGGGCACAGGTCCAGTGCGGCACCATGCCTAGCAGCACCAGCCATGGGTCAGGCTGGGAAACTGCTGCTGAGAGCTGTAGCACTAACTTGCCTCATCTCCCTGGCTTGACAGACCCGCCCCCAAACTGGCATGCTGCTGGCTGGGGGGGTCCAGGATCCAATCAGCATCCCTCCTACCCACCACATAGGTCATAGCCCCCCGCCCTGGCACTGCCCCCCTCCACACACACACGCAGAGTATAGTGTTCGCCCTGGTTCCATCCCCAATGCAGGGCATAGTCTTTCGCCTTGTTCCTGTCCCCACCCCCAGCCACCCAAACTGGGGCACAGCCCTCTGCGATGCCCTCACCCTGCACTCAGCCCAGATCTAACCGGTCTCTCCATCCCATGCAGTGGTTCACACCGCTCAGCTGTCACTGCCTGCTGGGCTACGAGTTCCAGAGAGTGGGACAGTTGCGCTGCAGATCCATGCTCAGTCCTGAGCAGTGGCTGCAGGGCTTCTTCATCCTGCAGAAAGCCCACCTGTTCTTCTGCCCGGGGGAGGAGGGCGCAGCCGAGGACAGCATCAACCTCCGGAGGCTGCAGGAGCTCAGTGAGTACAGCCCTCGCCTGTTCCAACTGTGGGAAACAGCAGCTGTGCCCCACCCCAGCAGGGCTGCATTGCGGTGCTGGGTCAGTGAGCCTTGTACTGTGTGGCTGAGCATTGTTCACCACCAGCCATGCCCCACCCCAGAGGCTGCATTCTGGTGCTGGGTCAGTGATTGCACACACACAGTAGTATGTAAAGCATCGGGATCCTTCTAGCTGACCCTCAGTGGGGACCCGGCACTGCGCGAGGTCTCTCCCTGGCCCCTAGGTGGGATTTGCATCTGAAGTCTCCATTTGCTCCTGTGCAGGCCTGGTCCCCCTCACTGAGACTCCTGAGAAGAAGGAGGTGCTGATCCTGGTGGAGATGGGGAGGTGAGCTCTCCTGGGACATGGTGCAGGCTGAATCCCAGCCGCCCTCTCGCGGGATGCCCTGGGCAGATGGGCAGCGCCTCCTGCCTGCAAGGAGGTGTTACTGGCCCAGGGTCTGGAGCAGACTAAGCTGGGGCGACAGGGGGGGGAATAAACACACAGACAGCCTGGTCAGTGGACTCCCAGGGAGTGGAGTCTGGGCACAGCTGGGGGAGAGGAGCCTGCATGAGCCTGCATGGGGGCGGGGGAATCTAATCCTTGCCCCGGGGCGGGAGCAGTGCTGTGTTTGCTGGGCCAGCGCAGGCTGAACAGCCCCGCAGTGTGGCCCCTCATCACGGGGGGCAACCTGAGGCTCACCCTAGATTTTCCTTTTGTCTAATTCCCCCCATTGCTCTGAGCCCCATTGGGGTTAGCCGATCTGGACCTGGGAGGGCATGCTCCAAGCTATGCCCCTCCACCCCCTGGGTCTCCCCTAAATGTCTGCCCTGCCCCCTGGGGCTTGGGCGGGAGCCGTGCCTGTAGACAGACCTGTGTCTGGTGAGAGGAGCCAGCCAGCTCTCCCGTGCCTGCACCAGGGCAGTGGGGTGTGCCAGGGGCAGGAACGGAGCTGGGGTGGGGGTGCTGTGGGAGTCAGGCCCTGCACTGTGTCCCCAGCTGGGTTTCATCCCCTGCTCTCTGCCCTGTCCTCAGGACCTTTTACCTGCAGGGGGTGACACGGATGGACTTCGCAGCATGGTGCGCGGACATCCAGGCCTCGGCGGGGGGACGGGGCAACGCCCTGCGCGACCAGCAGCTCAGCAGGAGTGATATCCCCATCCTCGTGGACAGCTGCATTGCCTTCATCACCCAGTACGGTGAGCCCCTCTGCTTGGGGCTGGCCTGGCGCCTCCTGCTGGGTGCTGGCAGTGCTGCCAGGAGCCCTGTGTAACGATGCTGCCCTTGGTGGGACCCAACTGAGAGTGCCAATTCAGGACAAATTGCTTAAAACAGGGCAGTTACAGCCCAAGACTGGGGTTTTTCCACCTCTAAGGCAAACCAACCAGACAGAGAGGACTTTGGTTTTACCCCACTGGCTAACCACAAGTCACACAAGCAATTCCCTTAGACACTCCAGTTTCCCAATATCACCACCAGTGCCACTTGTTATGGGGACAAATGGTTATCAAAACCAATACCCCAGTAAAAGAAAAAAAAGTTCTCTCGATCCCAAAAGACCAAGCCCCAGATCCAAGTCAATATACAAATCAGATCTTACCCACAAATCACACTGTTGCCAGTCCTTTAGAATCTAAAATCTAAAGGTTTATTCATAAAAGGAAAAAGATATAGTTGAGAGCTAGAATTGGTTAAATGGAATCAATTACTCACAGTAATGGCAAAGTTTTTGGTTCAGGCTTGCAGCAGTGATGGAATCAGGGCCGGCTTTAGGCCGATTCAGCCGATTCGGCTGAATTGGGCCCCGCGCTGCAGCTATCAACCCCGCCCCGCCCCCAGCTCACTTCCCCGGCCCCTCCTCCCCTC